ATGAGAAGAACATCTTTCTTTGGTGTCAGTTCTAGAAGGTGTTGTAGGTCTTCATAGAATTGGTCAATTTCAGCCTCTTGAGCATCGGTGGTTGGTGCATAAACTTGGATTACTGTGATGTTGAAAGGTCTGCCTTGGGTTTCGTATTGAAATCATTCTATCATTTTTGAGATTGCATCCCAGTACAGCTTTTCCCACTCTTTGTTGACTATGAGGACTACTCCATTTCTTCTACGGGATTTTTGCCCACAATAGTAGATATGATAATCGTCTGAATTGAATTCGTCCATTCCCGTCCATTTTAGTTAACTGACGCCCAGTTTGTCAATGTTGATTCTTACCATCTCCTGTCTGACCACATCCAGCTTACCAAGGTTCATAGATCTGACATTCCAGGTTCCTATGCAGTATTTTTCTTTGCAGCATCGGACTTTCCTTTCACTTTCAGGCACGTCCACAGCTGAGCGTCCTTTTGGCTTTGGCTCAACCACTTCATTAGCTCTGGAGCTACTTGTACTTGTCCTCCACTCTTCCCCAGTAACATGTTGGATGCCTTTCAAACTGAGGGGCCCATCTTCCAGCATCATATACAGTCTTGTCGTACTCCTTTCCCAATTTTGAACCAAGCAGTTGTTCCACATCCAGTTCTAACTTTTGCCTCTTTCAGCATTTTTTTTGTCCATGGAGTTTTCTTGGCAAAGATACTGGAGTGGCTTGCCAGTTCCTGCTCCAGGTGAATCACGTTTAGTCAGAACTCTCCACGTTGACCTGTCCCTCTTGGGTGTCCCTGCATGGCATAGCTCATAGCTTCTCTGAATTACTCAAGCCCCTTCGCCATGACAAGGCAGCAACCCGTGAAGGGTTCTTATGAAGTTGCTTATTAGTACATGATAAATCACAAAATGTAATATTGGTAGGATCCCAAATTGTGCACGTTTTTCATTTCTTCACATTAGCTTGAACGCATATAGTTATTAAGGCCATAATGTCAAGGGATAGTTCTGGAGGATACACATGAGTTCCTAAATCATTTTTAGTCATACAAGTAATTATTGGCATGGGTGCATTATGCCTGAGATTCGGAAATGGAAAATATGAAGTCCTGGACCAAACATAATATTAGGGTATATTATAGGGGGACAGTTTTCCACTAGTGAGCCAGGAATCATCTGGTATAGCCCAAGACCTATTTTGAAGAGCAAGAACAACTTCTTATTCAATCATATTTAGCAAACGGACATCATGTTTTCAAGTGACTTGTGCAGATAGAAAGTCAGACCACATTTTCTGGTCTGCTTGACACAGATAATTTATGGAGGTCCTCAATGCCTTATTCCCAGTTGTGGCCAGGGAGGGTAGGGCATTGAAATGTGGCAGAAAAACATTTTGATTGTTCTGAAAAGAATGTTCTGAGAGACACTCCTTAATGAGGACCATCAGTGTGTGGTAGAGATATTGTCCCCACTAACTTTGTGGTACAGGAGGATGTATAGTTTAGACTCTGCCTTCTTCGGGCTTCTTCTTCAGCTGTGCTGTTTTGACGTGCTGTTGTCAAATCAGTAAGTATATAATTTGCTGTCAAATTAGTAAGAATGTGTCCCTATCCTCCTGCCTCCTCTGCTGGGCTGCACTGTACCCTAAGAATCAAGTAGTCTTCTAGTAAACTCTGTCTCATGTACTGTTTGAAAAGCAGCTGAACCCAATAGACCTATGGTGCTAGTTTAACTTCTTTTAAAAGACAGAAGGAAAAAATTAAGTTGATAAATGGGCATGTAGCTCCTGGAATAAAAGCATTAGTGTTTTGAAAGGATATGCCTGGTGCAGACACTGCATAGTAAAATGCAGATGATCTGATTTTTCTATTTCAGGCTGTTAATGAAATATACTTTGAAAGGGATGTACTGTCATGGAAAGCAACTATAATTTTACAGGGGTAAGTAGGTAGAGTACTTGAAAGCTGCAGCAGGTTGTCAAGTGTATTTTCTTCTGTATCATGAAGTGGGGGAAAGATTCCTGCCAACATCTCCTTGCACTGGCTTTAATATGCTGGACAGTTTTTCATGTTAACTGTAAAAACACAACTGTTGTTTTATGTGTTTGTAACAACACTCCAACCTGAAGCACTAAAATCAGCAGCTGGAGATTTTTACATCAACATCTGTTTATGTTTGTATTTGAAGGCACTACAACTCTGACCAATTTTAAAAGTTTATCTTATTCACATAAGGAGAGTAGAAAGGTGGACAGCACCTCTGAGAATCCAACCTTCTCATTAGTTTAGGAGATGCATGTTTTTGAACAGCAGTTCACAGCCTATTAATAAAACATTTTAAGCAGAGGAGTACATGTCTTAGAAAAAGAGCTATAAATACCATTGGATGTAGGCGGTATTGAGACTGTTGAGAATTAAGAGTCTTGTTTTATACTAGACAAATTATGCATATGTACCATATCTTTATGCACATATTGTTAACAATAATAGAAATGGGTTATATTTCATGGAAAACAGGTCAAGAAATTAAATATAGTGGCCAGAATCCTATTGGGATCATGCAGCACAAACTGGAAATCACATAATCAGTGTGCATAAGCACTCAGTCACATGCCCAGACTAGTGATAACAGTCCAGAAAGCTGTAAAACTACGTGTGTGGTCTGTCTTAAATGTGTGTTATTTTGCAACTTTATTTTTTGCCACAAATAGTAAATGCATATGCAACCCCTATGTATTACTTGATTTAGCCCAGTGGGTAGTGGGAAATATTAGGAATGGGCTGTGATTCAGGCCTATTCAATTACAGAATAATTTAACTCAAAAGTTATGCAAAAACAACAAAAACTTTACAAAACAAGTGAAAATAGTGTTCCTTCTCACCATCTTTTTAAGAATACTGTTTCAATTCTGCAAAATGCTTGGAAGACATCATCAGGAGAAAAGTATTTCAAATGCTTGTTGAAAAATAGGAGTTCCTGCTGTTTTTTATTTGAGGTACAAAGATGAAGAAAATAACCGATTTCCTACTGACGGACCTACAATCGAATGGATATGATGATACCCCAAAAAGGGATAGATTAGGAACAGAAAAACAAAGACATTGAGTTAATTAATCTTTATAAGACCATATGCGTTTCATCACCAGGTGAGTGGGCGGGGGGGGGAACAGTGGAGGAAGAGGGTCCAATGATACCTGTTCCAAATCTGAAGCAGACTTTGCTGTCTCACCCTTCCCTTTACTGCAGCCAGCTGGAATGGTTGCCAATATATAACTACTAGAGAAGTCAAAGAGATGAATGGCAGTAGGTGCAGGCAAGAAGATGAAACAATGGAATCCAGCATTCAATATTCTGAACCATCTCCTGGCAAAAAAACTCAAAACAAGATAAAACTACAATAGCAGGACATTATAAAGCGCTACTGCAACACACAGAGCTTGCTCCTTTCATAAATGACAGTCATACTTCAGTAATTTTAGGAAGTATTTGCTTTCACATAGCCAAGAAACTGACAAAGGCAGTGCATTCTTCCAAGTCTTATTTACAGTTCATTGTGCAGGTAGATGTTATTACTAGCTGGCATGGGGTGCAGGAATGACTCACAAGCTCAGTATCTGTTTGAAAGCCATTTTTAAAAATGCACATCTTAGCCATTTTTCCAGATTGCAGGCTTCCAAAGACACAGCACTCTTTCCAAGGTTTTTAAATATATTTATTGTATTTATTTAATTTCTACCCTGCTATTCTCTCTTGAAGTACCCTATATAGCTTACAACAAACATTTTAAAAAGAGATGCTACTAAAACCAAAAAAATTTACAGGATCAGATGTGCCTGTGATGATGGCGGACATATCATATACCTAACATAGGTTTTCCATATATTACATCTTCTGTATGTGTTAAACAGAATATATTTCAGTAGTATAAGTCAGAATCCTATTATGCAATTGCACAAGTTGAGTGGTGTAAGGAATTTTGTCTCTTCTGTCTGACCACTGCACTCTCCTGCACTCACTGATCTTACAAATGCTTTGTGCACCTTCTGTGCACCAGCTGCACGACGAATGGCAACCCAGAGGAGAAAACTGCTTGCATGATTGCTCTTATGTATGTGGTTGTCTCCAAATATAATTTTGGATATAGTGTAAAATAAAATCTTTCAATTGCCCCCATGCATGAAGGACAATTTGTGTGTCAGTTTCCTCATGGTTTCCTGTACATTATGCCAGTTTTTCCTAGTTACCATCACTGGATTTGGTGATAGTCCTATCTGTCTCCAATTCATATTACTGTTGCAGCATATCACAAGGTCATGGGAAAGAAAGCAGTAGAACTGCTTAATTTTAAAGACCCTGTAACTACAACAGCTACACATCAGTATGCTTCCATATGACAATTTCAGACCCTTTCTCCCTTGAATAGACTTGCAAACTTTGTGGAACAGACTAAGGATCAAAATGACCTCATATTGTCAACAGTGTATCACAAGGTGGGAGAATACATCAGCTTACTCACACTCTCGCATTCCTAAGGCTTTCCTGCTTTCAGATTCAAATGTGGAACCACATCAGCAGTATTCACTGCTTACAGGAAAGTGCATAGGGTTTGCCATAGGCATGGGGTTCACCTATCCTCCAGCTTTCACAGCTAAGAATGCCACAGGGCTCCATCTTTGTTATTTCTCCAGGTTACTCTGTCCATCCTGCATGGCTTTGAGAAGCCCTCAGAGTGAGACATTTAAGAGGTAACCACAGCTGGAGAGGTTTGCAGAGCAGTGGCAGCTCTCCAGGAGGTCTGGTTCCTTGCCAGTATAGCATGTGTGGTCAATTTGCTATTTCTGGTGCTGTACTATCTGGGACAACTGGTTTATTGCAGGGGTGTCCCTATTTCTGTTGGAAGTTTCTCAGACCAAACCAGTCCCCTACAGCAGTGGTTCTTAACCTTGGGTTACTTGGGTGTTTTTGGACTGCAACTCCCAGAAGCCTTCACCACCAGCTGTGCTGGCTGGGGTTTCTGGGAGTTGCAGTTCAAAAGCACCTGAGTAACCCAAGGTTAAGAAACACTGTCCTGCAGCAGTGGTTCCCAACCTTGGGCCTCCAGATGTTCTTGAACTACAATTCCCAGAAGCCTTCACCACCACCTCTGCTGGCCAGGATTTCTGGGAGTTGAAGTCCAAGAACATCTGGAGGCCCAAGGTTGGGGACCACTGCCCTACAGCACCTCCTAATTGCATAAGAGGATTGTATTAGGCATATCAAAGGGACTACAGTGTACCACATTACTGACAAAATAGACAGAGAGACAGATATATATTAGTCTATGGTATATGTTATTTTTCTGTAGCAATAATAAAATCCATTCTTGTTCCAAGTACAGTTGGAAGCTTTGCTTAAGAAGATTATATTATGCCTCTATATCATATGCAAATAATGCCTCTGTTTTATCACCTATGCACGATGCACTGGGAATCTAGCCCAAATACATAAAGCAGCAATAAACAAAAATGTGGTAAATGTTCATATTTGTTTGGAAAACCCAACAGTGGCCAGAGGATTGGAAAAGATCAGTCTACATCCCAATCCCAAAGAAAGGCAGTGCCAAAGAATGCTCCAACTACCGTACAATTGCACTCATTTCGCACGCTAGCAAGGTTATGCTCAAAATCCTGCAAGGTAGGCTTCAGCAGTATGTGGACCGAGAACTCCCAGAAGTACAAGCTGGATTCCGAAGAGGCAGAGGAACTCGAGACCAAATTGCTAACTTGCGCTGGATTATGGAGAAAGCCAGAGAGTTCCAGAAAAATATCTACTTCTGCTTCATTGACTATGCGAAAGCCTTTGACTGTGTGGACCACAGCAAACTATGGCAAGTTCTTAAAGAAATGGGAGTGCCTGACCACTTTATCTGTCTCCTGAGAAACCTATATGTGGGACAGGAAGCAACAGTTAGAACTGGTCATGGAACAACTGAGTGGTTCAAAATTGGGAAAGGAGTACGGCAAGGCTGTATATTGTCCCCCAGCTTATTTAACTTATATGCAGAATACATCATGCGGAAGGCTGGACTGGAAGAAACCCAAGCCGGAATTAAGATTGCCGGAAGAAATATCAACAACCTCCGATATGCAGATGATACCACTCTGATGGCAGAAAGTGAGGAGGAATTAAAGAACCTTGTAATGAGGGTGAAAGAGGAGAGTGCAAAAAACGGTCTGAAACTCAACATCAAAAAAACTAAGATCATGGCCACTGGTCCCCTCACCTCCTGGGAAATAGAAGGGGAAGATATGGAGGCAGTGTCAAATTTTATTTTCCTGGGCTCCATGATCACTGCAGGTGGAGACAGCAGCCCTGAAATTAAAAGACGCCTTCTTCTTGGGAGGAAAGGGATGACAAATCTTGACAGCATCTTGAAAAGCAGAGACATCACCTTGCCAACAAAAGTCCGAATAGTCAAAGCTATGGTTTTTCCTGTCGTGATGTATGGAAGTGAGAGCTGGACCATAAAGAAAGCAGACCGCCGAAGAATTGATGCCTTTGAATTGTGGTGCTGGAGGAGACTCTTGAGAATCCCCTGGACTGCAAGGAGAACAAACCTATCAATTCTAAAGGAAATCAACCCTGAGTGCTCACTGGAAGGACAGATCCTGAAGCTGAGGCTCCAGTACTTTGGCCATCTAATGAGAAGAAAAGACTCCCTGGAAAAGACCCTGATGTTGGGAAAGTGTGATGGCAAGAGGAGAAGGGGACGACCAAGGATGAGATGGCTGGACAGTGTCTGTGAAGCAACCAACATGAGTTTGACACAACTCCGGGAGGCAGTAGAAGATAGGAGGGCCTGGCGTGCTCTGGTCCATGGGGTCACGAAGAGTCGGACACGACTAAACGACTAAATGAAAACGAAACTAGTACTCTGATGGCATGGACTCTATGAAAGCCTCCTGAAGAACAATGGAGGAATATATCTGAAATATTAGGTTTCTGTATATACTGTAGTTTTTTTTCCTATGTAGAGACTGTGGGCCATTTTACACATTATGTAAAGGGAAGCCTAGGGTTACTTATCAAGTTTGCACAGAAGAGAGAGCTGGAATGCATTGCAGCTCCTTAATAAATCTGATAGCATAATACTGTACATGTTTTGTTACATTCAAATGTCACATTCCATGCATGTTAGGATGCAGGCTGCATTCCTCAAAGTTTATGCCAAACAAATGGCATTAAAGTTACAAGATTCTTTATTGTTTTTGCTTCAACTGATTAATGTGACTACTTAGAAATGTCACATTTGTAGGTGTATACTTAAAATACATATAATATTCAGTGAACACCTAAAATGCACTGTATGGTATCTTTTTTAAAAGGCCTCTCCCAAACCATCTCTGTAAGCACATGCCACAGCTATTTTTTCTTCTGTCTCCTATTTGTATAGGTTGCCTCAGGCCAAACAATAGATTACATTCAAACCAGTGTAACTGGTAGCACCATAGCCTTTTCTGAACAGGAAGTAATTTATGGATATATATACTGGGCATGGTGTTTTAACCCTTTCTGTGCCTGCTATTAGCCTGGTCAAGATTTTTCAGCTTCCAAGCAGACTGTTCTTTTGGAAATAATCCATCTGTTAGCTGATCCCCCATTACATCCATAGGTTGAAATCCTGTTGAATGGCTACACGGAAATAATCCATCTGTTAGCTGATCCCCCCATTACATCCATAGGCTGAAATCCTGTTGAATGGCTACACAGGTGTAACTCAATGTTATGTCCATGGTAGCTGATTTGCACCAGGTATTTACAAAGCACTTTCCCCAGTGCATTGCACACTTGAAAGGGGAACTAAGTGATTGATTGTGCAATCAAGTTGCAGAATCCTTATTGCTAGCATAGAATGCCTGCCATATTTTCACATGCATAATGCTATGCTGCACCTCAACAAAGAGGATTCTGGCATTATTTATTAATTGCAGTGTTGATCTTAGTTTTAACTGAGAGTATCCAGATACAGGCTTAAAGACATAGCCTGTACAGATGTCAACAACAGGAGATATTTTCTGCAAAACCAATTCTGATTTGGCCGTAGGTCCCTTGGGTGTTGGTGTTGCCTTAGAAACCAAGCTACCACTGGATATAGTAACAAAATGATGACTTAGCACCAAAAATTCTTAATAGTATTAATCTGTTCCTGTCTAAAGTACTGATAAATTTTGAGCCTAGTTGGAGGTTTGCAAATCTAACTTTCTAAATCTGAATATAGTCTTCAATATGAAGAAATGATCAGGGGCAAAAAGGGTATAGCACATGAAAAATTATGGGGATAGCTTTAAAGCTTGTGCCTCCAAACTGTTGCAATGACCATCATTGTTGTTGTTTAGGGTTCTGCACAATTCTTTTGAGATGCAACGGCTATACACTTGGTGCTTGCTCATGTGTAAGGTAAGAGTTGTCAAAAAAAAGTAGGTCGATTCTTGGTATGCTCAAATGCCTATCATCACACTTTATCCATGATGGTCTCTTTGGTTACAGCATAAGTAGTTGTTGTTGTTTAGTCGTTCAGTCGTGTCCAACTCTTCGTGACCCCATGGACCAGAGCACGCCAGGCCCACCTGTCTTCCACTGCCTCCCGGACTTGGGTCAAATTCATTTGGTCACTTCGGTGACCCTGTCCAACCCATCTCATCCCAATGACCATCATAATGTATGATTAAAATCCCCATGTGGTCACAGTCCAAAACAAGATTAAACCAAATTGACTTGAATGTGGTTCAAGGTATGTAACTCTTTCTTAGGTTATGACCCTTAAGTGAGCATAAGAAGGAATGCAAACATTTGCAAAATGCCAACATGCAAAATCCCGTCAGCCATCCTACTCCCTATGTAGAGTTTCACTAGTGGTGTAGAAAAGGTGAAACGAAGCACAGACTTTGCTACATTACAGACAACATGTAAAATCAGCACTCTGATTAGCAGGACTGGGCTGTCCACAGTTATCTGATATGGTTTTCTTATGGGCATGTCTCTGCTGGTCAGTGTCCACCCTTCTGTGCCTTACTATCAATCCTGCTAGTTTTCCTGTTATATCAGATGTTCTTGTAGTTGTTTTTTTCTTAGTTGTTGTTTTATTCATTAAAAACATTGCACTATAGCAGAAAAGTGAAAAATATTTTTTTTTTGGGGGGTAAAAATTAGAAATCATTGCTGTAAAAATGTGAAGGTTTGGAACCAGCAGGTGTGTAGTTAGGATACTTATGCAGGAAAAACAGAAACTTAACTAGTGTAAAGTTTCCTCCTCACTGCATTTCAATTGGGGAGATAAACCTGTTAAATGCGTATACTGTATGTCACAGAACTGTCATGTAGTTTTCCCCAGCCTTTCCCCAATGTTGTTTAAATATAGGCCCCTGCATCCCTAGCCAGCACAGAGGATGGTAATGGACGATACGAACTGAGATAGAAGAACAAAGCTAAGGAGCCAAGTTTGTGCGTATGTTTGTGTGTGTGTGTGTGTGTGTGTGTGTGTGTGTATGTGTGTGTGTGTGTGTGTATGTGTGTGTGTGTGTGTGTTTCTGGAAGCTCTAGCCCAAAATGTACCCTTTCCAAGCTCGGCCTGGCAAGATCGTCCTCAAATGAAGATGCAACCATTAAACGTGAGCGCTAACCAGATGCCAACATCACAAGGGAAGGAAATCCTGGACGAACAGTAGCCTTTTCATCCCTCTCTCGTGTCTCATGATCCTAGACGCATTTGATTGCAGGCGGAGTCCCTTCAAAGTACGCGTGTTTAGCCTTGCAGCCAGCAGCGCGATCCCCACTACACCAGGCTTCCTAACGGGCATCTTTAGGATTGCTGCTTCGCGACTGTTCGCCATCCTAAGGCGCGTTTCTCGATCCGGAAAGCCTTGCGGAAAATCCGCTCGGTCCGACCGCCGAGTCGACGCGGGGAGAGAACCGTCCACGGGCTTGCAATCCCGCAAGAAAAGTGCGCCGCCGCCACCCCTTCCCTCTGCCGGGCTTCCGAGGCGGGATGGGCGCGGGTCCGCTTCCTGCCATCCCCACCCAGCTCCTCGCGGGAGGGAGGAGGAAAAGCAGAGGCGGGCAAGGCCCTCCTCCGGAACGACCCGACCTACCAAGCCCAGGGAACCCAATGAAGAGGCGAAAAAGGGCGCTTCCTCTTCCTGCTCCCTCCCTGGGTGTTGGCGTTGTCTAACGTTTTCTGGCTCCTCCCTGAGGTGCCAAGACCGAGGAGAAGCTGGCTGAGCTCTGAAAAACGACTACTTTTACGAGTCTACCGACTGGGTTGTGAGGAGGAGGGCACGCTTCGCCCCCGGCCGTTTCGCTGGTTCCACGCCGCTTTCCCTTGAAGCTGTAAGGATGTTTCGCTTCTTGAGGGGCTTCGTGCTCCCGGAGGCGGCTTGTGAAGCGCCCGACGCTCACTCGAGGTACGAGAATCTCTTCAAGAAGCTAGACCTCAACGAGGACGGCCGCGTGGACATTGCCGAGCTGCAGGCCGGCCTCCAAGCTTTGGGCATCCCGCTGGGACACGAGGCGGAGAAGGTGGGTGAGAGGCACGATGGTGGCTGGGCGGAAAGGGAGGAAGACGTGAGGCGCTTCTTCCAGACCCTGGGATACTTTGCAAACGACTCGTAGTGGCTTGTTGGAGTAACACAACAAGCCGCCAGCCTCCACTTCCCCGGAGTTAGTGGGCTCTGCCGGGCTTCCGAGGCGGGATGGGCGCGGGTCCGCTTCCTGCCATCCCCACCCAGCTCCTCGCGGGAGGGAGGAGGAAAAGCAGAGGCGGGCAAGGCCCTCCTCCGGAACGACCCGACCTACCAAGCCCAGGGAACCCAATGAAGAGGCGAAAAAGGGCGCTTCCTCTTCCTGCTCCCTCCCTGGGTGTTGGCGTTGTCTAACGTTTTCTGGCTCCTCCCTGAGGTGCCAAGACCGAGGAGAAGCTGGCTGAGCTCTGAAAAACGACTACTTTTACGAGTCTACCGACTGGGTTGTGAGGAGGAGGGCACGCTTCGCCCCCGGCCGTTTCGCTGGTTCCACGCCGCTTTCCCTTGAAGCTGTAAGGATGTTTCGCTTCTTGAGGGGCTTCGTGCTCCCGGAGGCGGCTTGTGAAGCGCCCGACGCTCACTCGAGGTACGAGAATCTCTTCAAGAAGCTAGACCTCAACGAGGACGGCCGCGTGGACATTGCCGAGCTGCAGGCCGGCCTCCAAGCTTTGGGCATCCCGCTGGGACACGAGGCGGAGAAGGTGGGTGAGAGGCACGATGGTGGCTGGGCGGAAAGGGAGGAAGATGTGAGGCGCTTCTTCCAGACCCTGGGATACTTTGCAAACGACTCGTGGTGGCTTGTTGGAGTAACACAACAAGCCAGCCTCCGCTTCCCTGGAGTTAGTGGATACAGTATTCCGGAGGCCTTTCTTCCTCATCTCTCTTCCCCACTTTTTTATTCCATTAAAAAAAGAACATAGTATCAGGCACTTCCTGTAGGAAGACGTTTCCTTCCCTCCCGTTCATCGGGAAGACGCTCAATGGGGAGATTTACCTAAGGCCCCAGTGGACCTTCCTCTCTCTCTCTCTCTCTCTCTCACACACACACACACACACACACAGAGAGAGAGAGAGAGAGAGAGAGAGAGAGAGAGAGAGAGAGAGAGAGAGAGAGAGAGAGAGAGAGAGAGAGAGAGAGGTGGTTTTCAGCTAATTCAGAGGAGCATACCAACCTCTTCAGAGTTAAAAGTTGTGCATCTTGGTGGCTGGTGTCTTCAGCTCCTGGTCCCTTCCCTTCCCTGTGTTGCTCATCAAAGCCCCACAGATGCAAAGATTTCTGCTGAGACCCTGCTACTGCCCTGGCACTCCTCCCAAATCCTAAACCGCTTCTAGTTGGCCCCACACTGATTGACACCCAAATGAGCAGTGGTGTTTCCTGACAGAAACCTGAGGTACAACTTGGCCTATATTGACTGGGCTACCGTGCAATTACCAAAATGAATTGATGCATCAGAATGGTTATTCAGTTGGATTGCCTGGCTGTGGTAGCAGGGGTTGGCAGCTTAGATCCCCACTTGCAACCCATCAGCTCCATCAATCCCTGGGATTGCAAGTGGGAGAGGGGCCTGCTGAGATCACCCAGAGTGTGCATGGGGCTGATGGTGTTGTGTGGCCTTGGGCAAGCTGCATAGTCCCAGCACATCATCATAAAGAAGGGCTGGTCTACCATTTCAGACTACTTTGTACCCAGAAAATTCTAGGAGGGTCATGAGAACTCCGACTTAACTTTACTCTGCACAGCTGTAATCTTGCACTCCAAAGTAATGGTAAGAGGTAGTTTAAGCTCTGGGAAAGGTGAGAGTGGGATATCTGAAGGACTGCTTCCTCCCAGAGAGGTGACTTGCCCATACAGGCAGAGGCTGTGTTTTGTGTCCTTTTGGATTCAGATGAAGTAGAGTGGTTGCATAGACCAGAAGGACAGGATACAAATCAAATCAAATGAATAAGTAAATAATAAATAAATGGCTGGATCAGCACTTGGAAAATTCACTTTTGGATTGCAGTTCCCAGAAATTGGTCAGTATGGATGGGGATGGGGGATTCTGGGATTTGTACTACAAAAGTACATTTTTAAAAAAGTTCTGGGGTGGGTACCAGGGCTTTTGGAAGCTCTGGAACTATCCACTGCAGTGTTCATCCAGTAGCCACTATGCAGTGGAAACTTTGAAAACAATTGAACTTTAGGGCCTTCATTTCTAAGAGTTTCAAAAATATGCCTGCTAATCTCTTTTTGCTTGTTCTTTATTCTGAATGAACTGTTGATCTAAGGAAAAAGACCACGATAGAGTCACATTTGATGGCATTTTCCCATGATTTTTCTACCATTGCCTTGCAGTTTTATCATTTTATTATGAAGCGCCACACTATCTTAACTTTTGCACTTATTTCATTGTTTGAGTTTTAAAATTTTTGTTTGTGATTGTTCAATTTTAGCTTGTCAACTGCCCAGAAGAGTGCATTGCACCAATGGGGTGGTATACCCATTAAATTAATGAATTAATTAATTAATTCCTGGTCAGAATATTTTTGGAATAGTATTTATACTTTCAAATTTTAATAGCTGCTTAACATGGGCAGCTGTACCATGCAATGGACTGGGGGTATTTTGAATCTTGAAGTGGAAAATCCAAATGATCATTTCCTTTAGTGTGCTTAAGGTTCTGATCCAACAGAGGAATATTTATGAACTGAATTATCACCACTGTTCCATTGCCTTTTGAACTATTTCAGGCTCAGAACTACATACAAAGAACTTGTTAGTCTGTTGTCCTTTAATTGTACTTCCACATCTCCTGCCAAATGGTAGGGCTGGCCCTAGTTTGTACATCCTGTTTATTTAGTGAGGATAATAGTTTTAATACCTGCTCGATTCCTGTTGCTTAGCATAGTAAGTTGCAGTTTGAGTGGGCCCATTTGAATCAAAAGAACTTATGAAGTGGTTAACTCACCAAATCACAACTGGTTCAGTGGGCCTCAATACTCCAATTTTGAGTTACTACACTGAGCAACAAGATTTCAGCCACTATGTATTAATAGGAATATGTAATTCCTGAGGCTTTTTTTACTGACATTATCAAACCTGCTGTGCTACATTCTCCTTTACAAACCTATCTCTACTTATTTGGATAAAGGGCAGTCTTCCTTTTGTAGTAGTACAGTATTATGTGATAGATTGCTATCAGGTCAGAAATAGCAACAGACCTTGTGGATCCAATAGTAGTAAACAATGCAAAAGCCCATTGAGGGTCTGTGAGTAGCATCCAGATGTTCACACCCCCTTGTGAAAGTTCTTGTATTCTGAATTAGAAACTAAAAAATTAAGAGAGACTGGCAAAATGTTAGGAAGAAAAACCTCCAGAACACGGCTAAACAGCCCGAAAACCCTACAACTAAAAAAAATTGTTTTTTCACTAGAATAGGAGCTAAAGCAATAAGCTTATAATGATTAGTGTTTGTCACTATTTGTCATATAATGCTTATTAATGCTCCCAAGAAACATAAAAATGTCATCCACAAGTAACATTTTGTTGTTATTTAGTCGTTTAGTCATGTCCGACTCTTTGTGACCCCATGGACCACAGCATGCCAGGCCCTCCTGTCTTCCACTGCCTCCCAGAGTTGGGTCAAATTCATGTTGGTAGCTTTGGTGACACTGTCCAACCATCTCATCCTCTGTTGTCCCCTTCTCCTCTTGCCCTCACACTTTTCGAACATCACGGTCTTTTCCAGGGAGTCTTCTCTTCTCATGAGATGGCCAAAATATTGGAGCCTCAGCTTCAGGATCTGTCCTTCCAGTGAGCACTCAGGGTTGATTTCCTTTAGAATGGATAGGTTTGTTCTCCTTGCAGTCCAGGGACTCTCAAGAGTCTCCTCCAGCACCACAATTCAAAGGCATCACTATAGGAAAAACCATAGCTTTGAGTATGCGGACTTTTGTTGGTAAGGTGATGTCTCTGCCTTTTAAGATGCTGTCTAGGTTTGTCATCACTTTCCTCCCAAGAAGCAGGCGTCTTTTAATTTTGTGGCTGCTGTCACTATCTGCAGTGATCATGGAGCCCATGAAAGTAAAATCTGTCACTGCCTCCATATCTTCCCCTTCTATTTGCCAGGAAGTGATGGGACCAGTGGCCATGATCTTAGTTTTTTTTTAATGTTCAGCTTCAGATGGTTTTTTTCACTCTCCTCTTTCACCCTCATTACAAGGTTCTTTAATTCCTCCTCACTTTCTGCCATCAGAGTGGTATCATCTGCATATCTGAGGTTGCTGATATTTCTTCCGGCAACCTTGATTCTAGCTTGGGATTCCTCCAGTCCAACCTTTCGCATGATGTATTCTGCATATAAGTTGAATAAGCTGGGGGACAATATACAGCCTTGTCGTACTCCTTTCCCAATTTTGAACCAATCAGTGTTTCCATATCCGGTTCTAACTGTTGCTTCCTGTCCCACGTATAGGTTTCTCAGGAGATAGATAAGGTGGTCAGGCACTCCCATTACTCATGCATTAATGATTTTTATGTCATTTTATGTTATATCATTAGCATAACATAAGCATTTCATTGGGGTAATTAACATTGAACTTCGAACTATTTCAGTGCTTCTTTAGGTGATTAGCAACAAAATGTAATCAGCATTCTATCAAAGCCAGTTCTAGGTGGAGATACTTCAGATGTTAGCACGACAGGCCACTTCAGTTGTCTATTTTCTTTGAGTGCCTCTTCCTTCTGTATGTTATAAAGTCATGCTTAATCATGTTTCTGCAAATGGAACAACACAGTGTTGCCCAATCAACCTAGAAAGCAGTGGAGAAACTTGGATGAACAGATACAGAAAAAGAGGCAAAATGCTAAGTTTTCTTAACATGGAAACCAACTTCAGAAACCAAGCTTCCTGGGGAGTGTGCTCTGTTACTCGGATGAGCTTTCTGAGAAGGTTTATTGCCTGATAACTACAGCCTGCTCTTGAGTTGGGAGGGGAACCCCAAGAAAGACCTCTGAAGAAGATCTCAGTGTAGCTGAAACCACATATGGAGATAGGTGATATCCTAGTCCCACACTATAAAAGGCATTAACAAATAGAAACCTTCAGCATTTTGCATTGGTATGGCATGCAGTCTAGTTGTTGAAGCAATTCATAATGCTCAGTCTCTCTCAGGTCCTTCTCATGAGCTTGCAGATGGCCATTGCTGGAAATGAAATATTTACTTAGAGCAGGAGTAGGATGTTGTGCCCCTTCAGGTGCTGTTGGACTGCATATTCCATCATTCCCAGCCACCACTGCCAATGGTCAGTGTTGTAATAAACAACACACAGGGATTACTCTTCCTTGATCTGTAGAGAAATCCATGCAAATTAGTTCTCACTAATACAGTATTCCCATTCAAAGCCAGGAAATAACATTGTACAAGTAATGTAGTTACTTGCAACATGTTGCTTTTAAAACGTAACAGAGCAACTGGTAATGCCATTGTTTTTTATAGAATTACTGTTCGGTAACAATTATTCCTAAATTTCTGCTTTGGGGATTATTGGGGAGGGGGGAATTGGGCCATTTCTGCATCATTAGGTAAAATTTTAAAACCAACTAATTTAAAAAAAGAACTAAAATAGATTGTTAATAACAAGTTAATCTTTGAATATTGATAATGGCTGAGAGTAATTTTTTGTTTAAAAGCAATTAATTAGCCTTTTAGAGTAACATTACAGGTTCTATTATTATATGTATTGCTCTATGCTGAAATCTCTGTAGTGAGGAAACATGACTTGAGAACCAGACCTTTGATAAACCTTATGGCAAAGAATTAAATACTCAGCATTAGCATATACTGCTCCCAACTCCTTATTTCGGACACTGTGAGTTATGGCTATATCTGGTGCATGCTGTAGATTAGACCTCCAGTCTACAGTATGGTGACAGTCTTCATCACTGTGGGTTGGAATTCAGTCTTTGTAATTTTACATTGGAGAGCCACTGGTGTAGCAGACAGAGTGACAGACTAGGACTTAGGAATCCTTGGATTCAAAAACTCCTTCAATCATGAAAACTCACTAGGGATGGAGTTTTGGCAATGGTAACTATTGCACATGTCTTGAAAACCCACATTCAAATCCCCCCTCAATCATGGAAACTCACTAGGGATGGAGTTTTGGCAGTGGTAACTATTGCGCATGTCTTGAAAACCCATCAGGATTGCTATATGTCAGATGCAACTTGATGGAATATGACACACACTGTTTTTCATTGGTAAGATTTAATAGGCCTTATCTAAGAAGAGGGTACTGTTTGCATTTAATTTACCCCTCTTTTCAAGAAATGTCACTTCATTTTTTTATTGGGCAGCTACAGAAGTAGTCAAATTTTAGAATATGGCAATCCTTTTTCTTGTAATGTGTTACTTAAATGTTACAGGTGAGGAGATTCTTGACACAGGCATTACTGCTAGCTCTTCTCTACTGTGTTTTAACAGAAAATTTTTACAGCTGGAGATACTAACAAAGATGGCAGACTGGACTTTGAAGAATTTACACGTTACCTCAAAGACCATGAGAAGAAAATGAAATTGGCATTCAAGAGTTTGGACAAAAACAATGATGGTAAGATCCAATTACCCCTTTTTATCTATGATAAGAGAATATGTATACA